TGAGCTACTTAAATTCTACTAACCTGCAAGTGCTTTAGAACTGTAACTGGCTTGTTTTCTATTTCTTAGATTAACTTGGTTCCAAATGATTTCTTGGGGGGAAAAAAAAAAAAAAAAAAAAAAGAAAGAAAAAGAAAAAAGAAACATTTAAACATCTGCAGTTGTCCTTTCTTGTTATACAAGAAAATGTCATAGCCTTAGAAAGGTCCTAGTTTGCTGAAGTATGACCTATGTATGCTGTGTTCAACAGCAGTGTGAAGATTTCTCTAAACAGGAAAAGTTTGAACTTCTTAATTTTGATTGGGATGTGCACTGTTTTGAGTTGTTACTGTTTCTAGTTCTGTTACTGGAAAGCTCAGAAAGTCTTAGCTCAGTGTTTTATCTCCTCTGCCTTAATTCATCAGTTTAATTCGCTAGTGGAGCTTGTGTGAAGAGATCCATTTTAGAGGACTAGCAAGTTAATATTTGCCATTTCTTAAGTGAGACACTGTCCTCTGTGTGCCTTTTGCAAGCAAACATTGACAGACTTAGAGGATATGCAGCTGACGTTAGAAAGCTTGGGTGGGGACTACAGGGAGCTGGCAAATACTACAGGATTTAGTGCCAGGCTTGCTGACACAACAGTACTTTGCTTGTAAAAGTTTTCTTTAGGTGGCTAATTCTGTCTTCAGAGTAACTGGAACTGAAGCAGTGTCTCTAATGCCAAGGTAATATAGCAAAAGGAACAACTTATAGGAAATTGAGAATGTTCTTATTACTAACTATTTCTGAAGATTTGAGTTGTGGAAAGAAACCAGCAAACTCCTCTCATCCTGAAAGGATGAATTATGAACAGTGTCATAGAGTGAATGCACTGCAGAACAAATTCCATCTAACTGTAGAGTGTCATAAACAGCTTGAAGAAGGAAAAGCTAGCTGTGCTGTGTAGAATGTCTGTAAATATTGAGCTCTGTCTGTTTTATATCACAGTATCTGTTTGATTCACCAGTTTATAGCCGTGTTTCCTAAGGCACATTTTTAATAGCTTCCCTTAACCTTCACATAAAAATTCCTAACATCAAGTGTAGTCAGACATTGAGAAATGATATATTCTCAAATGAGAACAGTTGCTGTAGTTTATTTACCACATCACCTTAAGTATAAAGTGTTTTGGCTTGAATCTACAATACTTCTGGTTCTCATAAAAGCCTAGGGGCTAATAAAGCTTTCAAGGGATGTGAAAATCCAGCTTCTGTTTGTTTTGCAGAAGGTTAGGTAGAAAATATCCCCCGCTGTCTCCAGTTCTGTATGTGGAGAGGGTTTTGGGGTAACATTATAGAGCAGAGCCTTTGAGTGGTCAGGTGGTGGTGGTGGAAGTAGATGCGCCTGACATAAAAGGCATAGAAACTGGTGTGATCTTGGTGAAAGTATGCTGCCTGATTATATGAGCATATCAATATTTTTTGGATTTCAGTATCACTTGTAGATTTTTCAGAAGAACTTTCTTCCCTTTCCAGGAGTGCCTGAAATACTGAATAGTTTCAGAATAAGTGTGGGGAGAAATAAGAGTCAGAAGGTGAATTTAATCTGTTTTGCAGCTTCACTGCAGTATGCCATGCTATGTTAGCTTAAATATTCATAGAATCATGGAATTGTCTGAGTTTGAAGAGACCTTTAAAGGTCTAGTCCAGCCGCTCTGCAATAAGCAGAGACATCTGCAGTTAGATCAAATTGTTCAGAGCTTCATCCAGCCAGAGCTCGAGCACCTCCACATATGGGGTACCCACCACATCTCTGGGCAATCTGTTTCAGTGCTTCACTACCCCTATCATAAGAAAAAAATGAAAGCTTTTCTCATATATCCAATCTAAATCTCCCCTCTTTAAGTTTGAAACCATTTCTCCTTGTCCTGTCACCACGGACCCTGCTAAAGAGTCTGTCCCTTTCTTTCTTACATCTCCCACTTAAGATACTGGAAGGCGGCTATCAGATTTTCCTGGAGGCTTTTCTTCTCCAGTCTGAAAAGCTCCTTCAGACTCTCCTCTGAAGGGCTCTCTCAGACTTCTCACAGGACAGGGGGCAGGGGGGAAGGTGTTCCATCCCTGGGATGATTTTTGTGGCCCTCTTCTGGATGCACTCCAACAGGTCTATGTCTCCTCTACTGAGGACTCCACATCTGGATGCAGTACTCCAGGTGAGGCTTTACCTGTGCAGAGTAGAGGAGCAGGATCACCTCCCTTGACCTATTGGCCATACTTTTGATTCAGCCTGGGATATAGTTGGCTTCCAGGGTTGTGAGGACACATTGCTGGATCATGTCCAGCTTGCAGTCTACAGTCCTTCGAGATTTTTGGCAGGACTGTATGCAATCTTTTCATCCCCCAGCCTTTATTGATAATAGGGATTGCCACAACCCAGGTGCAAAATTTTGTACTTGGCAGAATTGTTTAATTTTGAGTTGAAGAAAGTTGTCTCAAGTGATGCTTATGCAGAGCAGCTTTGTTCACTAAACCTGTTGCTGCTGTGGTTGCTGTGATTTTGGGGAGCAGTGGAGCATTCTTTTGCTGCATCAACAGCACAATACTTCTAGAACAGGGCATAGTAGCTTCCAGACAGGCTTGTCATGTTTGCGTCTGAGCACCTTACCTGAAGAAACTTGCAATTTTATTTTTGGGAAAGGGTAAAGGACTTGATTTACAAGAAAAGATTTAAGATTGCAATGTGGATAGCTTAGTTAAGTAATGTTTAGAAGACTCTGAGAGGAAAAGAGAATGTTTTAGTGTGAAAGACTTGGTAAAATGTAGAGGATTAAATGCAAATAAAAAGCATGATTAGAAAATGCTAAGCCCAGGGAGGGCTTGTGGTGGATGGAGTGAATCTTTCCAACGAAGAAACCTGGTTGCTTGGCATTTTTAAAATTAAGCTGAGGACAATATGTGAATGGGTATTGGGAAAATTCTTGCAATTTTACAAAGATGTGCTTCTGTTTCTGTTGAGAGCATGACTGTGAAAGAGCCTTCTCTGTGTTGTGAAATTACAAACTGATCTAGTGTCATGGAGTAAAGAGGAGCAAGTCTGATGTATTGACAGTTCTACTTTCTTTGAGCTACAACACTCCCTAACACAGAAAAAAAAATGTCATGCTGATGAAGACAGCATTTTTTTCTCTTCCTTGTGAAACACAATTGTTACATGATTTAGGGGCTTGGACTCAATGATCTCTAGAGGTCCCTTCCAACCCATACAACTCTGTGATTCTCCTGGGTCCACTGCTCAAGCCTGTCTATATTATTGCCCCTTTAAAATAAGGTCCTGCATTCTTTTCTCCCACAGAAGTAAAATTTCAGTAGGATTTTGAAGCTGCTTTATCTAGAGCACCTGGATGGCAGTATCTTGTACATGTGGAAGGCTCTGTCTTCTGCTGCCCTCAGAGTAGTAGGTTGCCTCTGGTCTTCTGTTGCCTGATTACTAAGGTGAAGTGAAATATAAATAATACAGGAATAGAAGTAAAGATTGTTTTAAATCATGGAGGTCTTTTTTTGCATGAACTACTGCTATAAATAGTCTAAAGCTGATTGAACAGAGAACACTTTTGTAGTCTTTGGTAATCTCTGTCATCAGTTCAACTCTGCAGTACAGTGATGTCTTTCAGATCAACATTTGTCTTCCTGAGGACTAGCACTTAAAACGTTGCTTCTAAGTTTACAAAATTTAAAGTGGTGCATTTGAAAGCCTGTATAGCAAATTTCCATGCTGTCCATGGGTTGACCATATCAAGGGACGCTGCAATCTATGGTCTGTTGGGTTTTTTCTTTGAATGGTCTGCTCACATCTCTTTGAGTGTTCTATATAATATTGCAAGCGTTTACTCTTTTTTTGTGCCTAATCACTCCTGAATTGCTACCTATATCATTTTCTCTCAGAGTATGTAAAAATATCTCTAAATTCTTGTAATGAACAAATCCCGGGTTTAAAATGTGGATATACCAAGCAAGATGTCTGTGTCTTAACCCAGTAGAAGGGGCTTGGAGGATGTGTTTGGGGTAGAGAGGCTTTTTTAACAAATTTTCTTTCAGTTCATAACAGGTAACCTTTGGAGAATGTTAAGTCTACTTTGGTCGCTCAGCCTTGTTAAATAAAGGAGAGTCAGCTGGCTGTAATGGTGACCATTTGTTAATAGGTGAGGGGTTTCTTGGTCGGATGGAAATTGTGTACTATCACTGAAGTGATCTGGAGAGTGTCCAAGATTTAAACAACTTGATTGCTCATATTTTCTGTAGCTTGCTTAAGCATTTCTGTTTACAGATGTGTAAAGTCAGCTATTTGTTGCGTAGTGGGATTGCACTTCCTGTAGGTCAGCTGAATTCTTTGGAACAGAGTCAAATTTTTTTAATGTAAAGTCTGTAGACTTTGCTGATAATAGCTGGCAATGAATACATGTGCAAAGTTGAAGAGAATTCTTGGAGAAAGAAGGTTCCAGGGAGGCCTCACTGTGGCCTTCCAGTACTTAAAGGGAGTGTGCAAACTGGAGAAGGAACGATTGTTTACAGGGATTGATAGTGATAGGACAAGGGGGAATGGTTTTTAACTGAGACGGGAGATTTAGGTTAGATATTAGGAGGAAGTCTTTCACTCAGGGGGTGATGACACACTGAAACAGGCTGTCCAGGGAGGTCGTGGATGCCCTGTCCCTGGAGGCATTCTATAAGGTTAGCTGTTGTATTAAGTATTCTGGACTTTGTTCTTCATTTTTTTTTTTTTTTTTTTTTTTTTTTTTGCATTATTCTGACATGAAGTGGAATGTAAGAATGGCTAGTTATCTATTGCAACTTTCATGCTTACTTTTCAGAAGTGAGCACTATCATCAACTTAGTGTGAATGTGCAATTTCTGTAGAGCTTATGGACAAACATGCCTTGACTTCAGAATGTTTTTTCAGGAGTATAGCAGCTGACACTAGCTTTCTTGGACACAGATACAGTTTGAGTATTACTCTTTTTTTTTCTTTTTTCTTTTTTTCAGATGGAGCAATTATCAGATGAAGAGCTTGACCATGGTGCAGAAGAAGACAGTGATAAGGAAGATCAGGATCTGGACAAGATGTTTGGAGCCTGGCTAGGAGAACTGGACAAACTCACACAGGTTGGGGAGGTTTCAGTCATGTCATAGAATAATTATAAATGATTATTACGTGTTTATTTTCATTTGAAAGCTAACTACTTTAACCTTAACGAGGATCTTTTTGAACAATTCGGGTGAGTATGAATTAAGACTTCTAGCTGTGGTGCTTTGTCAGGGTCAAGTATATATCCTTAGCTGTTTTATTGTGTGAGGATAGAAGATGCCTCTCTTCTCAGTTCATTAGCACTACCACTTGGAGCAAGACTAGATGTAGCATATGACCAACTCAGTGTTCTTAAAAGAGTACTGAATTAACTTATTTTCCCCATTTCCAAGTTGTTAAATTTGTTTTTCACAACCTGGTAGTTATACCACTCCCGAAGGGTACAATCCATTTGGAAAACTATGGAATTGATCTTTTGTCCTCATGTACATAGAGAAATACAGACTTCAGCTGGCTAGTGCTAGGCTGTATCTCCAAACACACAGTTGAGCATTGTCTAGTGGCAATGTAATTGAATCTATTTGTTGCACCTGAACAGCAATAAGGAACAAGAAAGTGTGAATGATGTCAATGATGATGTGCTAAGGTCACCTGATGCACCCTAGAGGACCATTATTCCAGAGTGCTTTTCCAGCATCAGAGTGGCAGCTAACAGGACACCTTTTGGCGTTTTTTTTTTTAGTGCTTTTTCTTTTCTTCACAAGCAAATCTTACATTTTGCACGGTATGACAGAGTTCCAAGATAAAAGTCCATTTCTCTGTGATCTCCTGCTTTGTTTTTTCCAGCCATGTGTGCTGGCTCTCCTGAACAGTATAATTCATTTTCTCATTCTTTGTATAGATTTTAAGTAATGATGTGATGCTCCAAGTTTCAATAAGGTAGATGGGAAGAGGCTTCTCTCATCACTTCGTTACTGTATGCTTGGGGGAAAAGGAAGAATCTTCATCTTATGAGAAGACTGACATAAAATGGAGTTAATCATACAACAGAACATTTCAGATTCAGTCTCATGCACGTTATCTTTGGTTTAAAGGACTACCTGCAAGTTCTAAATGCAGATGGCCTTTTAAAGTATGGGAAAATGGGTCAATAAGGAATCCTACCTTTTCAAATGAATAGAAGATAACCTGTAATAAGTCTAAATATCATAATTCTTATTGTCTTTAACTCCCTGTGAAAGATTTTTAATGGTGAGAGTCCTTTCAAAGACCCTATGCCTTCAGATTGCCTCTAATGGGGATCGTCATGTAGGAGCACAATTGGTAATTAGTATTAGATTTTTTGTTCTTGGTTTCACTTCAGCAAATATGAGTAACTTCCAAATATGTGTGTCTTACTTAGGGCTCGCAGCTGTACATTTAATATACAGACTTTCTGCTGATACCTGAATTTGCGTCCTAATCCATGCAGAATGCTTAAAAGCTGTTTCTCACTTATGTACTGCTATGCAACACAGTCTACAGTTTAGCCATTCAGTTGAACTTCTGTCTTTTGTAACTACTGAGAAGTGACATTTCCCCCAGAACTTTGAATAACCTCATAATATTTTGTATAAACAAGTTAATGCAGTCTGTTGTGTCTCAGATTGCTTGTTTGGTAAATAGTTATGTCTTGATTCAGCTGAGGACCCAGTAAAGGGGCGTGATTAAATTTAATGAGCTCCAAAGAGCGCTCTGGTGTAGTTTTAGCATTTGTTGCTGTTTATCAGCAGCACTCTGAAAGCAGTGGAAGAAGAATTTTGTCCCCAAGTTCCTTGAACTTGTAACTTCTTTTTCAAATTTTCTACTTCTGTGTATTTGTTTTGGGAAGATTGAAAGTAAGACCTAGGTTCCTTTCCAGACAGGAATTCTTTGTTAAAAGATATGAAATTGTTAAGATGCCTTTGAGATAATTTGAATTCACTTTGCCCTTTTTAACCCTTTGCCTAGTAAAAGCATTATAAAATGCAACCATGAAATTTTCAACACATGTGAGCAGTGTCTGCATTAGCAATTGGTGTCTGGTTACCCTGTTCAATGAAGTAAGTATTCTCATTTTCCAGAACTAGTCTTTTAGTGCTGTTTCAGTTCTCAGCAGCTTCCAAAAATGAAATTTGCATTATTAATTATGGAGATTGTTCTCTAATAATACAAGGGCTATTCCGAAACTAATGCCTCCTATTTCATTATGTTGGTCCACAATGTCAGAGGTGGATGTTGGTAGTATGGTGGTCGGGTTGAACCTGCCCACCAGTATTCAGTTACATTTTGTTGTTGTGTAGCAGATGGCAGCCTTACAAAATGGTGTCTGGCATGGAAGTGCGTATGAAACAAAGGTGTGTTGTTGAACTCTTCCATGCAGGAAAAAATGGCACCCATTGACATTTGTCCATTTTTGCTGAATGTTTATGGAGACCAAGCAGTGGGTGTGTGTGCAGTGAGGCAGTGGGGGCTGCATTTCAGCAGTGATGTAAATGACATGAAAAATAAGTGATGTTCCAGACAGCTGAGGAGATTTTTACAAGCGCAGCATGCAGGTTTCTGTTGGTTGCTGGTTAGAAAAACAAAAACAAAACAAAACAAAAAAAAAACTTAAAAATGCACAGCTAAGAGTGGTGACTGTGTTGAAAAACAGTGTTCAGTAGCCAAGAATTTACTTGATCAAATAGTGTTATTGTGCTCTTTACTTTCATGGAAGTAAATAGGAGGCATAATGTTTGGAGTGGTCTACATAGTAAGAGTATATCCCAGTTATTTCAAAGGGTAGAATCATACAATGGTTTGGGTTGGAAGGAACCTTTAAGATCATCTAGTTCCAACGCCCTGCTATAGGCAGGGATACCTCCCTCTAGCCCAGGTTGCTCACAGCCCCATCTTGCTGGGCCTTGAACGCTCCCGTGAAGGGGACATTCACAACCCTGTGTACTAACATAATTGTTCTTAAATTTAATAAAACATACTTTAGATGTTTTTATCCAGAATATGTTTGCTTTGCAGGCAATCTCTTGGTTCAGTTGAAAGGAATGATCCCTAATGTGCCTGCTTTGTTTCAAGTTTTCTTTGCTGCCTGTAGGGTTTTAATCTGATGTTTTTCAACAGTTCTGTATGGAATGATATATAAACTCCACTAGAGCTGTTTTTTCCACATAATAGAAAATAGTTCTGGATCACTGCCTTGTGATCATTAACTGATGACTGCCTTCCTTAAGCAAGGACACAGAAAATAAAAAAAGTGTGGATAAAAAACTTAAAACTTTTTGTGCTAGAAGATGCCCTTCTTTTAGACAAACGTGTATTTGGGAAAGCTTTATTATTAGAAGTGTTGCTTTTATTCACACCCTCTGCAGGCCTGTCAAGCAACGCCAGGAGCTAGATTCACCACATAGCACTTCTCACTCTGCAGGTGTCATGCAACTTTTGGGTTACCCATTGGATCATAGTGCCCTACTGCTTGCTTCTTACTGCTGCTGATTAACTGCAAAGTTCTATGTCCGTTAATTGTCTTTTGATTTCATGTTTTGTTTTGTGTTATTTTTTTTTAATCCCTTACTAGATGTTTGGTTGTTTTTTTTGTTTGTTTGGTTGTTTTTTTGTTTGTTGTTTTTTTTTGTTTTTGCATATATATTTTTTTCAAAACACTATCATATTTGGGAGGGGGTCACTTTCACAACTCCATATTTTTCATGGAAAAGACTTATGAGAAAAATACCTAAAATTAGTAATTAAAGATCTTTTATAAAAAAGGAGTTCTCCATTGAGCGCTTTTCTGTGCTTATACCACAGATATGCTCATAATCAAAGGACGCATTTCTTAGGGTGTCACAGTTTGCATGTGTTTAACTCCTGCACAACTCTCTGCAGAGTAGTTGTTATGGATAAATCAGCTGTGTTACGTATTAGCTCATTTTGAAACACAGCTGAAACATGCATTCGGAATTTGTTCCCTTTTAAATCAGTAACAAGAAAGATTAATCTCTTTTCTGCAGCTAAGTCTTTGTGATGTAGTGACATGTTTTTTAGTCAAAATCCTGGAAGAAAAAAAAAACAAACGCTTTTGATATGCCAGGAGCATATCAAATTGGTTATAAAGAAAATTTATTTTCATCAACCTTGAGGATTTCTTTGTCAAATTATATTCTCCACCTTTTCTTATCTTTTTCAGAGTTTGGATTCAGACAAGCCTGTGGCACCAGTGAAGAGATCACCTCTCCATCAAGAAACCAACCTTGCCAACTTCTCTTATCGTTTCTCCATGTACAATTTGAATGGTTCGTTGACTTATTTACCTTCTAAAGTATTATTTTAGGAAAAAAAATAAAAAATTGTTTAACCATAAATGAGAACATTCTGAAATGGTTTCAAAGAATGCTAAAATACACTGTAGCTAGAAGTGAGAATGTGTTTGATAACAGCCTTGCTTTCTTATGGCAGAGAACTTTGAATGTTCTCCAACCTTGTCTTTTATAGCACCTAGTATCTAAGAATTGTAGTCCGATATTTATAAAGAAAACTTGTACTGGGATCTGGTCTCGTGAAAAAAGGAATTAATATGTATTGTAATAAGTTGTAATACAGGAAGCTTGTAATTTGGAGTTTGAGTGTGTGTATAGTATTTTAGTGTCGTGGGTTGGTTTTTTGTTTTTGTTTTTAAAGTAATGTCACATTTGCCTAGCAAAACACATTTCATTGAGAAGCTGAAGCATGATGTATACATTTTTAAATTCTGTTTACAGCAGAGCAGTTTCAACCTTTCAAATGTAACTAAAAATTCACGAGTTTCTCCTATCAGAAAGTATATTTACCCTATATATATATTTTTTTTTCTTTTAGACCAGTCAAGAATACTAGTGCAAATAAACTTAGTGTTTATCAGTGAGGACAGGTTTTGCAATATAGATGGGAAAATACAGTTTCCTTGGCCCTTGTCTTTCAGCTATTAAATTCAGTAACATAAAATGAAGAGCTGCTTAGAGAAATAAAGCAACCCTGCTCATACTAAAAACTCTTCTTCATTGCAGAAGCTCTGAATCAGGGGGAGACTGTGGATCTAGATGCACTCATGGCTGATCTCTGCTCCATAGAGCAGGAACTCAGCAGCATTGGGTCTCATTCAGCAAATAATACTGCAGTGAAACGCCTTGCCACAGAATCCAAAGTTCAGAAACCACCTAGTAGCCGTCCTTCTACTAAGCATGGCAGTATGAAAGGATTATCCTCTTCATCTGGTAAGGTTACTAAACCATCACATGCCAACGTTTCTTTGGATGACATCACTGCACAATTAGAGAAAGCTTCTTTGAGCATGGATGAGGCAGCCCAGCAGTCTGTAGCAGAAGATGCCAAACCAGTAGTTAATGCCCAGCACAGGAGGACAGCATCTGCTGGCACAGTGAGTGATGCTGAGGTGCGCTCAATCAGTAACTCCTCCCGTTCCAGCATAACTTCTGCAGCTTCCAGCATGGACTCTTTGGATATTGATAAGGTGACAAGACCTCAAGAACTGGACTTAACATCACAAGGGCAACCAATCACCGAGGTAATGTCATTAATTTAATAATTCTTTTGGTGTTTTTTCTACAAGTATTTTTTTTTCTTCTTTTCCCCCCCCCCCTTTCTTTTAGGCTGATACTCCCTGCTAAACATGTTCCATACAACAAAACTGATTACAGATCAGGATTGCTTGCACATGGGCTACACACTGTGGCTTTTTTTTTTTTAGCTTTTGTCTATCTGCAAGGAATCTTAATGTAAAAGGTGTTGTTGTAGTTCTTTTTATTTTTCTTCCAAGAACTTTCCTCAGCTTTTCATCTTCCATATCAACTCATGTGTTTTAATGTTTTATATGTAATGTTTTTCTTTTAAGTAAATCCTATATGCTGCTTTTAAATTTAAATCTAAGAAGTATACAGCTTTGAAAAAGGGAATGAAAAGTTGAAGGACATTACTACAGTTGTGTTACTGTATGCTCAGACTACTGCATGTGTGACACATACTGTGAATGTCTGTCTGGAGCTGTAACAACAGTTCGCCACTTCTTAATATTCCTCTTAAATGTGTGGCAAGGAGGACTCTTCCAAACAATGCCCAACACAGAAAACCAACTGGTTCATGGTAGAGCAGTACCAAATTTGAGATTTGTTCGTGTGCATTGGTTAATAATAATCAGACAGCAATTTTTTTTTTCCTCAGTAAAAGCACAGTAAGTTTGAGAAATGTTTGAGAAGTGCTGGTGTGTTACATGAGAAATGGAACATTTTCCATTGAATTTCAGAATTTAAGGAGAAACAAAAACCTGACTTATTAGTCAAAAGACAGCTGTACTAAAACAAACGTTCACTTTCAGTTTTCTCTGTACCAAAAAGACAAGTGGAACAAGCTAAGTTCACCAAATCAATAATAAACACTAATTTGAATGAATTGCGCTTAAACCACGTCTTTATACATCTGCACCAAAATTTCAGATGATGCAAAGAGTGATGCAGACTTATCAGTTTCATGATAACTCATCAAGGTGATACTTTAAATTTTTATTTGAAATGGTGAGAAATGTGTTACAGCTTCTTACAGAAAAAGCTGATTATCAGTATTTTCTATTATTTTTGGATTTGTATTGAGTGTAGAAAAACAGAGGTAGATAGAAATGTATTCTTTTCTCTTTCAAAAGTTGAAATGCAAACCTATTCAATATTGCTGTAGATTAGAGCCCAGCTTGTGACAGTCTGATTGTATTGGTTTTCATTTGTCAGTCATCTTGTTTCTGTGATATAAGACTTACTTTTCTTTTGGATCCCTGACAGTCATGCTGACAGTCATGGAGATATCTCTTTTAATGATTAACTTCGTATGATAATGCACTCTCCTCGAGCTAAAATGACTTTTCTATTTCTTGAGTTCCTCTCTTCAGTGAGTTGCATGGTATAAGAAATCTTTATTTCACTTATTAAAAATTTAAGCTGTTCTTGGTAGTTGATTTTTGCAGGTATCAGTCTAGATATCAGCCTTTCTTTTTTAAGAAGTGATATGCTGAGGCATCAATAAGGTTACCCTTCCAGTCTCCCATTTTTCAATTCTTTGCATGGAAATGAACGATCAACAAACCACTTGCTCCGCCTGTGTGACTGGATATTGTTGAATCAATAGGCACGGTTCCAGAAGTTTGTCTTCACAGGAAGCTAATCCATATTGCTTCAAGTGTTGCAGTTGCTTTCTCAGTTGCTTTCTGAGCTCTTTTAGTCATTGACTCAGAAGCTCAACACTTTCCCCCCCAAGCTTTAGGGGCATTTGAGAGCTGTCTTTGTAAACTCGGTGATTGCTTCTCGGAAGAATTGTGGCTATTGTTTCTTTGCTCAGATAAGCTGCTAAGAATGACTCCTTCAAGGGAGGTAACCAGAAAGTGGTGTTAATTTGAGAGCCAAATTCTGCTCTCTACTTGAGAGCGAAAATCTTTCTAGTGATCAACAGTGTTGCTTTGTTCCACGCTGTCTGAGCTGTCATCTTAATTTCAGTAGTCTGAGGAAAGTATTTATCTCTGAGAGATTTTACAGCAAGCTTTAGAATTTATATTTAACTACTCAATATAAAAGCTTTGGGAAAGGACCTGCTGCCAATGTGGGGGAAAAGAAAACCAGCAAAACACTAAAACCACTTGGTTTTTTAAATTATTATGATTATTATGATTATTATTATTACGGAGAAACTGGGAGAAGCTATACTTCATGGCTTTAGCAGATGCATTTTTAATTTGTTATTCCCACCAAATACTTTAAGTTTGCTCTTTTCTTTTTGCCTGTCTTCCTTGTGGCCTTTCTGGTCTTGAGCTGACCTTTACAATTCTTTGCTGCTATGGTTCTTGTCAAAGAGTCAGTGACTTGGCAGCTCTACCCTTTTGACTGATCCACTCTGTCCTCTCCAGGCAGTGTAAGGACTTAAAAATAAATAATAATAATTTAAAAATAATAATAATAGAAATTGTCTTCCACGACTTAGTTTTATAGGAATCACTAGAGGACGGGAATAACATAAGTAAAATAGAGGACTTCTGACAGGAGAAAGTGCTTGCCTGAAAAAGAAAATTAAGCTTTGTAGTTACTAACTTCAGTGTTGTATCTTGGAAAATAGTTCTGCAATGTGTTTGAGCCACTTGGCCTGGAAATGTAGGGAAATGCTGTGAAGGAATGACCGTGCACTGGCATGACTAAAGTCATGGATAGTCTGGCACCCTTTCTGACCAATAATAGTGATAGATATTATGTAAAGATCTGCAGTTCTATAGCCACCAAAAATGAGAGGGAATGAGGGAGGATTGCTGATGTGTGCAGATACTTGGGGGGGGGGGAAGGGGGGGAGTGTGTAGGCAAGAGCTAGAGGGAGTACATCTGTTCGTGGTAATGGATTCTTCAAATCTTCTTGACTGAGCAGTAGGAATGGCACTTGCGTTCTTACTTGTCCTAGCAGTCTGTCATGTATGGACTTCATGTTATGGAAAATGCAGCAGCATCATGACAAATAGTGACTCTCAATGATCCTGTTCACCAGAACCATCCTTGTTGGTTCACAATGTCCTGAATTTGTGTGTACTGCTTCCAGGGGAGTTGACTGAAATTCCCTGAATTGTCTAAAATCAGTTTTATTTGTAGCCGTAATTATTTGTTTTTTCCTTTCTTAATGATTCTTAATGTTACCTATTTGGATACTGGGAATGTTAATAACTTCTGTAGTCTCAAGATTTTTTGTTGGTGGTACTAAGTGTTGTCTGTCTGCACTTGTGCTCTTATCACTCAGCATTGCTGAGTGAGAAAAGTTGCTTCCACCTTCTCAATGCTCTGTCCCCTGCAGTTTTTACTCAGTTGAAATTGTTTTCCACAAAACTACTTCCCAAATCCATGCTCCAACTGTATTCTTTTTAAATTGGTAGATTGCTTTTCATCTTCCATGTTTGTAAATCTATAATGAGTGGCATCCACTTTAAATGTTAATTTCTGCTGATCAGATATTTTACATGAATGTAGAACTGAATGAGTGTAGCAGTAGCAAGAATAAGGAAGAGGAAGCGATGGCTGCATGAGTAACTTGTCCCCTTCACCTTCCAGTACTAATTGTTTCTGCCCTCCATTCCTTCTGTACCCCTGCTACCAGAAATTCTCTTTTTGCAGTGAGCTGTGGTAGATCAAAAGGAGAAAGAAGTAGTGGGGAAAGAACAGAGAACTGTGTTGATCCTGCTTGTATAGCTAGCAAGACGTCTGATGATTTAAAAAAAAAAAAAAGCCTGTTCATGATCAGTCATTGTTACTGTCCTGCATACGCTTAATGAAGGCATCACAGATAAGTTTGAAGTCTGCCATCTGGTCTGACTCAGATGGCATCCCTCACCACCTCCCTCCGAACATGATATAGTTCTTTGTAACCCAATTGGCATAAGTAGAGATCCTGACTTGCATACAAAGATAACTTCTAATTTGATGTAATAATAATTTAGCTGATTGTACATTTATATAAATCATAGAATCATCAAGGTTGAAAAAGACCTCCAAGATCATCCAGTCCAGTCATCCCCCTATCACAGTATTTCCCATATAGAATCACAGAATCACCAAGGTTGGAGAAGACCATAATCTGTATTGGCCAGAAACTCCTGTGGGATAAAGTAGAAAATTTGGAATGGATATAAGGAAAAACAAAGTTTGTGTTTCACAGCTATTTTGCCTTGATTCTCATATGGGTTATTTTAGTTTCCACACAAAGGAGTACAGAAGCTTTTTTAACCATAACAGAGTATTATGGGCCATGTTTTCTGTGTGATCACTAAAAGTGTTGTATTGCACAAAAATATGGCTAAAATTGTGTGGATTTTTTGTTTGTCAAATTAAAATAAGTGAAAGAGAAATAAGGATATAAGCATTATCTTTGTATTGGTAGGTCTTGATTGTGTGATCGGTGTATCAGGTTGATTTCATGATTTCATCAGGCTGCAAATTTAGAACTTGTGCAATGTTTTCCATGTAGGAGGAGACTCATGAAATTGTAGCAGGAAGCTGGTTAGTGTAAAAGTAGGAAGAATATATTTACCTTCTGAGATTTCTAGTCAAATTTCTCTGACACTGATGATTAAGCTTAAAAATTTCTTCCCCAGAAGGAACAGGAAAAGGAATAGTATAATTGTGTACTTTGATGCAGCTGGCTAGCAAAGTTGCTATCAGCACAAAACTTTCAGTTATAGGTTATTTTGTTACCATCATCAGGTTTAACCCCGGCAGGCGGCTCCTTACCATTCAGTTGCTGCCCATTCTCGCTGGGTGGAATAGGGGTGAAAATTAGAGAGGTAAAAATGAAGGAACTCATGGATTGAGTTAAAGACAGTTTGCTAAGTGAAAACAAAAACAATGTGTGAAGGCAAAAAAGGGAATTCATTTGCTAGTTTCCATCAGTTGGTGGGTATTCAGTCACAGAGCTCGCTGCGTGCAGTTATTGGGAAGGCAAGCACTGTCACTTCAAACGTCCCTCTCTTCCTCATTCTGTACCCCAGCTTTTATTGCTGAG